CGATCGACGGGCGAGTTCGACGGAGAAGAAACGGTCGGACTGAAACGAAAGACCTGACATATTCGGGTTCGACAGAATTGGCACTGTAGGTGGTGTAGCTTTTAGTGAGCGCGACCGGTGACGCTCCAGGTAAGGGAGATCGGGATAAGATCGTAAAAAGGGCAGGTTCGCCGAGTGTTTCTTTCATATATTCGTGAGCGAGACAATGGACAAGGAATCATGAGATATTTTTTTTTTTGAATATGCGAGAAGGCACCTATCTTGGGTGCTTTTGCATGTTCGAAAAGGAAGATACCTGTAAATTCTCTATCCTACAGAACATAGGTATTTTGCTATTCTCCGAAAGGAAAATACGTATCCTAAAATATCTTCTCTGAGGTTTCGATCGTGTAGCTTTTTCTTACGGCGGAAATGCGAAGGATGGAAATTTCAATTGCTTTCAAATTGGAAAGGTTTTCACAAATTTTATGCTAAAGGAAAAGATCGATGACCAACTTCTAGGGGATCATGAATCTTATCCAGCGTGAACTCGTAAAAAGTGGAAATGTTTCATTTGAAAACATTTCGAATTTTTTACTTTTCACGCTTCCGCCATTAACCACAGGGTTACATGAATGATACCTAGAACATTTGTGTTCTCCTATTTTCCAAAGCATTTACTCTAAAGTATTTATTCTGTAATAATTCGTTTATTATCCAGAGGAAAAGTATCTTAAAGTATCTATATCGGAACAGAGGTACTTTCCTCCAGCAGGAAGATACGTGTCCTAAAGTATCTACCCTAGAACAAAGGTACTTTTCCATGCTGCAAAAAGAAAATACGTATCTTAAAGTAGCTTAGTACACTTACAACACATGTACTTTTCCCACGTTCCGAAAGAAAATTATCCATATCCCGAAGTACTTACCCAAAACATATAAATATTTTTCCAATCTTCCACAAGAAGGAAAAACCGATTTTCTTATGTTCTTAAAGAAAAGAATTGATCCTAAGGGGTACCCGTCTCAAAACATAAATACCTTTCCTATGTTCCAAATGAAAAAAATATCCATTTTAGAGACACTTTTCCTACGTTTTGAAAGGAAAGTATCGATCCTGGAACGCAGTTCCTCTCCTATGTTCTAAAAAGGAGCATATCACGATTTCTTTTCATTATGTCTTATAATAAATACATCAGTGCTTTACGAACCTGTCTCGGTCTTCTCTACGCGAGAACAAATCCCGGTCGAGGTAGTTTCATTCGCCAATTAACGTAATGAGGCCCAATAATGGGAGAAACCGCATTTTTGTTGACTTGTAGAAAACAAAATCCACCCGTTGATAAAATAGATGTATGAAATAGGCGAGAATGCTTTCTCCATTTTCGGCCGGTTGTCACGTCGTGCGCATGATGCTCGATGAATTCGAACACTCGATGAATAATGGCATTATCAATCTCTGCTTCTCAAGCGGGTATTCCGCGAGATAAACAACGGCAATCTCGTTGCTGGGTGTCAGCTGCAAGCATTGGTGCATAGCGCAATTTCCCTGTCGTTCCTCTCCGTTGAACTCGCGAACATTGATCGGTCCGCGCGGCGTCGCGACGCTGGTCACCGGCCACTTCGGCAGCGCGGTTTGCACGGATCTACGCGGGATTTTCGCGGATCTGTTCTGAGGTTTCGCTTCTCCGGGATCCGCGTCGGGATCGGGTCGCACGTCTACGCAAACACGCGACGTCGCTGCGCGACTTCCGGTGTAACCTCGGTTTCCCTCTTCCTTGTACGGGAACGAGAACTTCGATCGTCGTCGCGAGGATTGGGAACGACGAGATTAGCGAGAAAGGGATTTGAGGGTTGAGCGATCGGGGAAAGAGGAAATTCAAGGCCGACGGGGGTGGAGGAAAAAATCAAGAAGCGATTGCGCACGATGAGATGAAAAGATAGATGAGATGGATAAGATGGATGGGTTATATCGGGTTCATTGAGGGAAATCTTGTCTTATGGAATATGTTTCATTTGTCGGAATGTTTCTGTTTGAAGAACATTCGGTTCATGCTCGACACTTGCTCAGTGTTCATGAGGAAGAGACCTTCGAATCAACCTGATATTGAAGTCTACGATAAGTTCTTCGATATTATCATATGTGCATCATCGCATAGTATCGTAATATATAGTATCGTTATTATATTATTATACAGTATCTCTCTCATATGTTTGTACTTTTATCCAGGAGCTGCTCGTTGCTTGCTATTATTACATTGTTCCCTATTATTATTCTCTATATCACCACAATCCATCACATTATCTGTTATATTTGTTATTAAAACACACAAGGGTCGTTGAGAAGAAGTTTATCCTCCAATTATACGGTCCCTCTCGTCCTACCGTGATTATAAAAGGCGTCACGTCGGCGTTAACGTAATATTAATACACCATAAAGTCAAGATAAGGGTGGCGAAGGGAGTTCCCCGAACGAGAGTGAGTTAACGCAGTAACGACCGTCTGGAAGCAGACGATTCCCTTCGCCCATGGGGACTTCCCGACTTCCAGAGTACGATTCCCTTGCGACGTAGCCCCAGCGAAATTCGCGGCTAGTCTTCAGGGTCGCGCTAAGGCTTCGCGTCGTCTCGAGCTTCTTCGTTCCTTCCTCGAGACTATATTTCTTGATTCATCGGCTGCTACTCATCAGGTCGATCGATCCGAGGATAGGAACCAAAGCGGATCCCGTCGTTTTATCGCTCTGGGCGAGAGGTCGAAGGTCAATCCTCGCCTGTCCGTCTCGGGAAACGTGGAACTCGTCGAATGGCGGAAGCGTCGGCGATTGAAGGATCTCTCTCGCGTGTTGCCACGAGGTCGGCAGGTTCACTCACTCGCTCGCACAATCAGTCTGGTACCGAGCAGCCGTGCGTTGCTCGAGGTCAAGGTTTACGACTGCCCGAAAACTTGACCTCGTCCCGACGACGACCAGGATACCAACGAGAGCTCGTCTGGCGCGCTCGCTCGCTCGATACCTGGCAGGCGTTCGCGATCCTCCGACCTCCCCTTTCTCGAGGAGCGTCTCCTCCTATGCGAACACGATCCCCTGAAACGATCGATTGTACCAAGGCGGATTGCTTTCTGCCGTTCGTCTCTTTGTTCTCTTTAAGATTGTAACGCCGATGATGGCTTTCTCAGGCCTCAACAACGAGCATTAATATCGGTGTAATTTGAGGCCGGGTATAACGAGCGAATTGTAGGACGTGCAAAGAAAGCTCCGAGCGCATCGACCGCTAATCTCGGGGACACAAAAGCGGGAAACCGGATATCGCGGTCGGAGCCACTTCCTTTTTTCAATCGTGGACCGCGTATAGTCTCGCGATAAATTCCCTCTCTCTCTCTCTCTCTCTCTCGCGGCCCCTATCGATTGCGCACGTCAGCGAAGGACGCGGATCGTCCTTCTTCAACATCGAATTTCCGGCCGCGTCGCGCTGCACCTGTACAGGACGATTCACGAGAGTCAGATTAGGACCGGATTCCTCGCTCCCGAATTCGAGATTTTATCATTACCGATGCGGCGACTGTGATCGTAGTTGCATCGTAACCAAGCGATCGTAAACAATCGAGCTCGACAACACCTTGTGTCCCTTTCGCTAACCTTCGCGTGGCACTAGGTGTCTAGGAGTGAAAAGGATCACGGGTTCGACAATCGCGTGATTATATTAAGACTTTAGTTTTAACTCTTCGCGGTCTGAATTGTGTTATCGACTTTTCTTCCCGACCGCGACCTGTCTCAGAGATTCATTCGCCTCGCGAAATATCGCGCGCGTTTCGACATTTCAGTACTTTATTTACACAACAACACATTCACAGCGATACATTTGTATCAAGCGTATCGTTAATTGTAACGAATAAAATGCACGTCCATCAGTATGCTTAGGACTGCATTAACAAAACGCCTATATTGATTTCGTTACGCGCAACTATTCTCTCTACTGTAATTCCGGTATTTTCGTAACGATTGATTTATTATTTATTTATTTATTCTCCCGAAGGATTGATCTTCCGTTAATCAAGCGGAATAATAATAACAATAATGATATAATAATAGATAATTGGTTGATAGAATCGAGTGGAATGAGAGGCGGCGGGTAGACCCGACGTAGAGCAGCGAAAGGTTAATAACGCGTAATATTCGTCCGATAAGGGAGATGAACAATGAACGGAGCCGATCAATCGTGCCTCTTTGAATCGCCTTGTACGCGTTGTCCGCGTCGCGTCGGAGCGGCGAGAGCGCGCCGCTGCGCGCCGGCGCCGAAGTATTGAGCCGGCGAATACCCCATCTGGGCACGTAGACAGCTCCGACGCGGCCCTGAAGACATGGGGTAAGTCCTCCTCGCTCCCGTTCTCTTCGTCTTTCGTTCGCCCGTAGCTCTGTCTTTCGTTCACCTCGTCGTGGCCCGGTCGAGAGCCACTCGCGCGCTCGCGTTCATCTCGCGTTAGGCCTCCTCGAGGCCACTCGGCTCATCGTCAAGGCCGTCATCGTTCTTCGACGCCCGGTCCTCTCCGACTCGGCCGTAGGCGCCGGCCATGTCGTCGGAGTGACACGCTCTCGCTTGCCAGGCGTTCGAGCCCGCGAAACAGCACGTTCGCTTTCGGCGATACCTCTTTAGAACGTTCTCAGGTGCCACTCTTGGATATTCGATGTTCGAATGATACCGTGAATGACGATGAGGATGATGCTGAGGGTGAATCAATCTTGGGACGCGCTCTCGTCTCCCATCGGAAACTAAATCTCGCGATCCTCGCGACGCCTCCCTTTCTCGCGTTCTCCTTACGTGCATTATGTGGTTTATCCTGCATAGAATCTGTACGATATAGAGTAGCAATCCAATATTTCGACATTGTGTTACACGCATTGTGTTATATATAAGAAAATATAGATATATTAGAAGAATGTAGGATGAAGAGTGCGTATAGGAAAAAGGGATATCGCGAATATCGTCCCGGCTTCTTACTCATTATTTTTCTTACTTTATTTTCAGTAAAAAGATCGAGAACATAGGCAGAATGACGGCTATGACGCAGGAGGAGATAGTGGCAGGAGCCAGGACAGTGGCGCAGGGCCTGGAAGCCCTGCGGGTGGAGCACGGCGGACTCCTGCAGGGCCTGCAGTCCCAGGACGCGCCGGCGGCGCGCGACAAGGCCAGTTTGCTGTCGAAGATCATCGAGATGATCGATCTGGGCCTGGGTGAGGCGCAAGTGATGCAGGCGCTCGCCAGCCACCTACAGATGGTCGAGGCGGAAAAGCAGAAGCTGAGGACCCAAGTGAAGAGGCTGTGCCAGGAGAACGCCTGGCTGCGAGACGAGTTAGCCGGCACCCAGCAGAAGTTGCAGGCGAGCGAACAAGCGGTGAGTTCCCTCGGTGTGACGAGTGCCTCCTAGATCCTATTAACTCTGATCTGGCAGACCGGGGTCATTTCTGACCCCAGTCGATTTTTCATTTTTCATTTCTCGCCCAACCGTCGACACTAGTAGCGACGTTATTCTGACGAGAGTCGACAAGTATGCGAATGTACGCCCATCCTGCGGATGTTTCACCATTTATTAGATAGTTACTATTAATCAGATTTCGGTAACTTCTTTTTCGAAGTTGAGTTAGAAGTTAACGACCTATATAATTAATTTAGTTAAGTTAAAAGTAACATAAACAAAAACGAATTAAAAGTTGAGTTAAGATTAAATTAACTTATTAAAGTTAAAATTTAATTACGCAAAACTATATATGTATATAGTTTCATATAACTAACATCCAACTTAAATTACTTTACCCAACCTTGCTATTGGCAAATAGTTACGATAGTTATTAAAAGTTTCCGACCAGTCGCATTCATTTCTAGGTACACGTTTCTAAATGACTTTGATTAATCGAGAAAGCGGGACGGGTTTAAAATAGAAGCGATATCTTGTATCTTAGTTCTAGCGAGATGCGTTTTTGCGTTATAAGATCGGACAGAACTAACAGAGATAATTTCGAACAGTCGATCAGTCATAGTCGATAGTCGCATTCCTATCTCATTTTGTAATTTATGTGGAATTCACAAACACATATTAATAATAGCCGTCGACTTTTTGCGTACGGTTGAAATAAATAGACGCAGTAAGTTCGATATTAGCTCACTGCGCGAGACTGGAAACGATTTGCCGGAGACACTCGATATCGTCGTGAATTGCGTGGGTGAGATGAGGTAAGCAAGGCGGATTTTTCTCATATTGAAGACGTCGAGTGCAAGCGAAGCTTGACGGATCTTATTGATAACTGCAAGCTAACTGAAACCCGTGAGACTTCTACGGTGAAACTTATTATGAAAGACGACGAATCCGTGCTCTGGGTCTCCGAAATCCATGGTAGATCCATAAGACGTAGACGAAAATTAAGGGCAGTAATCCAGGATTAAACAGATTAAATACAGAACAATGCGTTGCATCGTAGTGTTCCTGTGTCAACTCAAAATCTTCGAAAATCATCTCACGTAACCCGTGCACTTTGCAGGTTGCTCAGTTGGAGGAGGAAAAGAGGCATTTAGACTTCATGGCCAGTATGCGACAATACGATCCGGATCCGTCGACAGAAGACGAGAATGCGAAGGATCGGCCGAAGGACGACCCCGTTGTGGACCTTTTCCCCGATGATGACGCGGATGATCGCAATAGTAAATGTATGCAACGTTCGTTTTGCAGAAACAACATACACGGCTGTGTTTCGTGGAAATTGCCGTTGTGTGTTGGTCATTTCGCTGATAAGAGTCCTTTCCCCCCTTTTTTCTGCTCTTTAACGGCTCTATGTGCGTTTTGATTCATGCGTTTAAATGTAATTTCTCGTTAACTGTGAGGCAATCTTTGCAAACCTCGTATAATGTTTTAGCTTCCTTGGGCGTTGTATTGTTTTTAAATACGTATAATTATTATCGTACATTTCTAACTATACTTGTGGCTCGCTTAATACTTCTTCACGGTCTTCTTTCCATCGTACAACTGAGAGAGTTCTACTCCAGAATTAAATCGATCTATCTCTCTGTCTACTAATTCGCAGCCATATCTCCGACTCCGCCGTCGCAGTTTGCGCAGCAAGTGAACGCCGGCTACGAGATACCAGCGCGGTTGCGCACTTTGCACAACCTGGTGATCCAGTACGCGAGTCAGGGCCGCTACGAGGTTGCGGTGCCACTGTGCAAGCAAGCGCTGGAAGACCTGGAGAAGACCTCCGGCCACGACCACCCGGATGTAGCCACCATGCTCAACATCCTCGCGCTCGTATATCGCGACCAGAACAAATACAAGGAGGCGGCGAACCTGCTGAACGACGCCCTGGCCATTCGCGAGAAGACCCTGGGTGAGAACCATCCTGCCGTGGCGGCTACCCTCAACAATCTGGCGGTGCTGTACGGGAAACGAGGCAAATACAAGGAAGCGGAGCCTCTGTGCAAGCGCGCGCTCGAGATACGCGAGAAGGTGCTCGGTCGCGATCACCCTGACGTGGCGAAACAGCTGAACAATCTGGCGCTGTTGTGCCAGAACCAGGGCAAGTACGAGGAGGTCGAGCGTTACTATCAGCGCGCGCTCGAGATCTACGAGGCCAAGCTGGGCCCGGACGATCCCAACGTCGCCAAGACGAAGAACAACCTCGCCTCATGTTTCCTCAAGCAAGGCAAATACAAGGACGCCGAGGTGCTGTACAAGCAGGTGCTCACGCGGGCGCATGAGAGGGAATTCGGTGCTATTGACGGCGACAACAAGCCGATCTGGCAGGTGAGAAACCCCCGTTCTTACCACGAAGCCTGTTCTCTCAGCTGAACTAATATCGCGCCGGAACTTCGTTCCTCTTTCTTCCAATACCAAGTTATCACATTTATTTCACTCTAAAGGACGAAATCTGCAACTTAGTTCAGCTAAGAAGAACAGACCTACCGTGTCATGGTGGACTTTTGCGGAATTGAAACGCGTGTCGTCAACCCCTCATCATACGGCCTATTTTACAATAGCCGTAAACGTAAGCTTGTAGAGCTGTAAGACACGATTGTAAGGACCCATTCCGGCGTAGAGGCCGTAAAATAAGGTCGTAAATGAAATGAATTATTTTTATTTTGCTTACGACCTTATTTTACGGCCTGCTACGGCCGGCACGGGTTCTTACGACCACGTCTTATAGACTTACCAGCTATACTCTCAGCCTTTGCCTACAACCTTGCTTTAAGACGTAAACCATAAGTAAATTGACCAACCACGCTCGATTATTCTTCTAATAAACGACTGTGATCAGTTAATTTACTTACTGCTTACGTCTTAAAGCCACGGTTGTTGACAAGGGCTTAGAGACGTTGTGGAATGGACTTACGAGGCGAGAGCGCTCAGTTCAACGTTTATTTCTGGCCGTATAAATGTGGCACGAAATTCGATCCTCCAAATTTCCGAGCTCACACTCACTAATCTGTAGGTTATATTTGCATGGTTTTCCAGGCCTTTATTGGTTTAACTTCTGCTAACAGACCTTGAAGTGTTAACGCATGACAAATCTAAGCGCGTCACTTGTAGTAGCGAGAGCGGACACGTGCAGTCGATCTGAATTATGCTGTTGCCAAATTTAAGCTTCACTCCGCCGGCAGCTTATTAAACTGATTAACCTTTCACAGTGCATTTTCTCGTCTCTGTAAGACTATGTTGACGCAAAACTAATAAATGTCCATTTCAACTCCTGTTTTTTCACCGTTGCCGTCTCGATTGATTACTTCGAAAGCGAGAAAATACATGCCCACAATTCTTGCGAGATACGTTAACGTGAAACAAAAATTGCCCATATGAAACGTCCCTTGTACCTTCCCCTTGTTCAATGATCAATAAATGGACGTAAAATTAATTCGACGAAGTCACGAGAAAAAGTCAGGCGGCTAAGTTGCGTGTTATTAATGCGTTGGTGTTTTTTTTTTTTCTTTAGGTTGCTGAGGAGAGGGAGGAGAACAAGCACAGAAACAAGGAGAACACACCGTACGGCGAATACGGTGGCTGGCACAAGGCAGCGAAGGTGGACTCGCCGACTGTCACCACCACTCTGAAGAACCTGGGCGCGCTGTACCGTAGGCAGGGCAAGTACGAAGCCGCCGAGACCCTGGAGGACTGCGCCATGAGATCGCGTAGAGAGGTATTTCCGCGGTTATCAGTCGCACGTTATCAAAACATTCACAGTCATCTCGATAGCTTCTTTCATATTTCTACTATCACTGACGCCACTGACTAACACGAATTTTGCATTTCTTCCACGCAGCACGTGCAGCAAGTGAGTAAAACACACACCCGACACAAGTTTTAGCGAATCATGCTTCGTTGTTCCCCTTTTGAAGCAACGTCCTCCATTCAACCGCCCTCTCGAGGCCTTCTGCGCACAGTCTCCAATTTTCAACACTGTCCCGTCGTCCCTTACCTTCCCCCACGTCTCGTAATCAACCTGAAATTCAGCGCACAGATCCTTCTTTCGAAAGCCATTACGACCCAGAACTTTCCGTGCGTTCGCTCGTCTCACGTTCCGTTTTCGCGCAGGCACTGGAACTGGTGAACAAGGCGCGAATGACGCAGCTGCTGGGTGACGAGAAGAGCTCCACGAGACGCGGCTCCCGCTCCAGTCTGGCGAACAGCGAACACGAGCAGAGCCACGACGAGGTGAGTGTCTTGATATCCTCATCGTCATCTACTCATTAGTATCTACTCGCACTTCTATTACTACTATTATTACTACTACTATTACTACTACTACCTATCGTGCATGCTCGACGTAGCACGTGAACGAACACTCACGAACGAACTTAGAAAGAGTGTGTATGAGTGTGAGAGAGAGAGAGGGAGAGAGAGAGAGAGAGAGCGAGAGCGAGAGCAAGCCTAAGTCTACTATCTCCTTTTCTTCTTTCTTTTTGTTCTTTTTTTCGTTGAACGTTCGTCCCGGCCCTCCCCCGAATTCTGACCGAATCCACGCCAACGTCACGCACGAACGCGCACGCACACGTGCAACTCGAACGAACCCGCCAGGCGAACAGCACGCTGCCGTTGGTGCAGAGGGCGCTGCTGCACAATGAGGGACAGCCGGCCGGCGGCCACCACGACAGTGCTAGTCCTAACAAACCCGGTTTCAAAAACAAGATCTTCCAAGCTTTCGGCATACACTCGTCCTCCACGTAGGCGGGGTGTGACTCCACCTCGCTCCGTCTCGCACCGTCTCGCGCATCTAGCTTTTATTTTGTCCGCCTTCGTAGAGTTCTCTTCGTCTCGACGATCTTCAACTACGACGTCGTCGCGTGTCGAGATGCCGTGTATTTCATCTTTCTTCAAAGTGACGGAAAGGTAGAAAAAAAGAGAGGGAGAGAAGAAAGAGAGAGAGAGAGAGAGAATGAGACAGTGAGTGAATTTTTGGTTATCGAGTACTTGTTTGATGAAGAACTGTTATGTAGAGTTTATAGAGCTTAATTTAGATATCGATTGTTTCTTTTATAAGAATTATTGCTAAGACTACCATTTCTTCGTCGCGGCCATCTTAAGTCGATAGATGTTAGAAGCGAGAAAATATATATTCAGAATTCTTGTGAAATATATCGGAATAAAAAGATTTGTCCGTAGCGCGTCATTCGCACACATCGATCGAGCAGATTTTAAGATGTTCTAAGAACTTTCCCTCTGCTCCGATAATCGATTAATAAAGCCACAAGATTAAATTGAGACACAATAAAGACAAAATCTCTGGAGATGGGAAAGTGAGTTAAATACCACGTTGGTTCGATTGCTATTTTACGGCTAATTATTGGTTTACGTTTATTTTACGGATGATCGGTCACTTATGGCCAACTGTTGTTGAAGTAATAGAAAAGTATTCGGAGAATCTTAATCGAGGCTGATCAATTGGTCGTAAGTGTCATTTTAATACCATAATATATCGTGTCGTATATATCTATAGCAAGCACGGAAAAATGCAGCGTATATCGCAGATTTTGCCGTCGCCGGTCTCAGTTGTCCGCATTTACGGTGTCTCGATGATGACTTTATCGTTCATTTTATAAACATCGATTTATTTCAACGTACTTTGCAAGAATTTTGAGCATGTGTTCTCCCACTTCTGACGACGTGATGTAAGACAGCCGCGGAGCGGAGAAGACCAGGAATCTTAAAATTAAACATTGCTAAATAGGAATCGTACACTGAAATTGAGCATTGTTATTAATTTTTTATTAGATATTAAACGAATAGTGTTAAATTGATATTCGATTGAATGCCATGGGCAGTTAAATCTTGGATATTAAAGAAATTAAAAGGGTGGATGGTTGTAAATAAGAAAGATTATTTTCTTATTTTCGCACAGATACACAGTATTAAATCTTTTGAAGGCTAAAGAGATCACTTTAAGAAGATTGTTTTTCGTTATACAAAATGAAGATCGCTCGCTTGGTGAGATTTACTTAGAATTTACTAAGTAATAGCGAAAAATTCAGAAACGACATGAAAAACGAAAAGAAAGTGTGAAACTTAATCTCGAATAATAAAGTATTAAATAAATTTGACATTAAATCTTTAAGGTGGAAAGATTCAAAGGCAAGGTGACAGATTATTAAGAAGATTGCGAAGGTTACAAAGATTATTCCTTATGAAATGTATAAATTGTTCTCTCTTTTTTTTTTAACTGTAGATTATAGATTTATTAAATTATAGGTGCAATTATAGATTATTCTTCATGGGAAGATCTTTCTTTCAGCGAGAAATATTTCTTGCTTACAAAAAGTACGAATGAGAACAAAGATGAAGAGATCATTTAGTCGAATTGACTGAGGGCGCATCCTCTCCCTCTCTTTTTCATTCTCTCCCTTTTCGGAAACGTTATTACTAGATATTGTAAATCTGACAACGCCACAATACGTATGTCGAGGAAGTATCTCTCGTGTCGCTTACGCGCGTAAACACGTATATCCGAGTATCAGTGTAAAATACCGTTTTTCCCTGCGAGATCTCTCAGCTCATCGATAATATATTAAACGCGGGCACTTCGCATTTTATTCAGGAAACTTGATCACTCGATACACACATTGTTACACTCTGTAAGATTCTACCTGTCGACTTTCAAGCGGCGGTTGAAAGAGATAATCGGCGCGAAATCGGTTTTTTGTCATATCACAGTGTGCGATGAAAGGCCCTCCTCCCTTTCATTCTTTGTTTTATTCCTCAATAATTTTCCGTGAGATCGACGCGATCTAAGAGATTCACGCTTGACCTTAATTGTATCATGATAGATAGTTTCTTTCTCGCCAGAGAAGACCGTCGATTCGTGGTAAAAGACGTTCCTGAGATTAATGCGGAAACGCTTGAAAAAAGACAAAGAAATAAAAATAAAAATAATCATGTGGAAGATACGAAGGGATACATCGAACATTCATCGCATCGTTATGAAAGACCGATATATTTCTGGTCGATGGTTTCTTTCAACAGCGATTTTGCTTATTGCCGTTAATATTCGCGACTTTCGAAACAGCGTAGCGAAAAGTGCAGCCTTATAGATCGCTTCCAGTTGCGAGCTGTGATATAATATTGTCTTAATTGTATCTTGATTCAAGATTTTCGCGGAGAGAAAAAGAGAGAGAGAGAGAGTGTGTATATGTGTGTTTCGTACTTTATTCACTCTTTTTTTGTTTCTTACTTTGTTTTAAGGAGACGACGGTAAGATGCAAGGTGCTTAGTTCTCCCTTATTTAATTCGTCAAGTGTGCTTTGGACGATCTGTAGAAAATTCGCGGGATGTTAAAGAAACGCTTGAACGCGTTCATGAATGTTCACGTTGCACATACTACGCATACATGTATATCCATACATATATCCGTAGAATATATATTATAATATTATATATAAGATATATTATATATCTATATAATAATATTATGATTCTGCTTTTGGAATGATACATACGTAAATCAGACGTGGCGATCATCCGATGACTCCCATCGCAATCGATATGTTAATGATTATGAATGGAACTATAGATAGAATCCTATTAGCGGTTTTCGTCGCGAATTTAGGTCGTCCAAAGTGGACTTTGCAAGTGCGACTCGCGCCGAAACTTCTTTTGTGTTTGTGTCACATGCAACATGCATTTAACACGAAAGCTACGAAGCTTCCTCGAGCAGATTTTATCTAAGATAGGATCGCGACGATTCTTCTTCTCAATTTTTTTCCCCTTCAATATGCATCTCAAGTCATCTTTGTTTCGCCCTTTCTCTCCTTCCTTTTCTTTTCGTTAAAAAAATTTCATAAGACCACGCGCATATATATGTATACATACACATACACACACGGTGCCCCGATCGGCGGAGATAGTATCATGCAAGTAGCGAGCTGCTTTGCTTAACTATATTAGCGCAGTATAGATTCGCAAAGACAACGTTCGATTCCATTTCCCTGAAGAATTTCGGCGAATTTCTCAGAGACAGAATTTAACGAGTTCTATCAATAATCGTAAAGATTTGTAACGAACGAAAGGAGGAAATATACATGTACAGAGTGTCCCAGACTTCGCGATTTGAATTTTATCGAGAGATTTTCCGAGCAATTTGGGGACAATTTTTCGCCAAAAATATTGAGAAAAGTTATTATTCAATTCATGGCAATTTGTTAATTTTCAATATATTTTTGTGGTCAAGTCTCGAAATCAAATCTCTTGAAGTTTATTTAAAATTGAACCCAAAAAAGTAATTTCGTTATTCGTTTGGGGTGTTCGAAGTTTGGTTTACGAAGCAGCTCTGATTTTTTTCCTCGTGTCACGTAAATTATTGACGCTTCGACGTTTCTGCTGAGGAAGAATGAACTCTGAATTACTCAGAGAACTTTTCGACAAAATTATAGTCGGAAGATCTGTCTGCGGCACCCTATATATGCATGTATATGTTCGTGTACGTGTGTATGTTGTAAAAAGAAGTATCGTTATCACATATACACACAATTTTCAACACACACAGTGATACTTTTCGCTTTTGATATAACGTGTGCCGCAAGAATTTCTCCTCTTCCTTGAATTTGCGCAGTGACATGTATTTTACGTATCCTGTGGCATATATTTACGGCAATCCGAAGCGGAGTTTGTTGTCTCTATTGAGTTTGCGGCATATGGTGCGCTTTTTTCGTGCTGGTTCTTCGCATGTGATGCGTCTCACTCTAGTAGCTAGAAAATTATTAAAAATACTGCTGTTTGTTGCTAGACTTTTCAATCATTTCTGGTAATGGATAATATTTTTGTAATTTTTTATAGTTATACACACATACATACATACATACATACACATATAAATATAAATAAATAAATATATATATATATATATATATGCGTATGTGCGTGTACACATGTATACACGGTTATTACTGTGTGCTAATGTAATACCATAATATACCGTGTCGTATATATCTATAGTAAGCACGGAAAAATGCAGCGTATGTCGCAGATTTTGTTGTCGCCGGTCTCAATTGTCCGCATTTACGGTGTCTCGATCATGATTTTATCGTTAGCAATAGATATACATATATATATTTATACAATTGTACAGAGAAAGAGAAGAGAGAGTATATGTACTTTTGAACGAACAAAAGGAAAATGAGAGGAAAGCGAGCGTAGGCCGTATCTGTCTCTCGCAAAGAAGATCTCAACGGTGCGTATATTGTAAAAAAAAAAAAAAGAAAGAAAGAGAGAAAACAAACGGAAATTAGCGTTTCTCTTGCTGAATTTAGCGCTGCGAGACACCTCGTGTACATGTATCTTAGCTTCGATCGAAAACGAAAGAGTAATAAGCGAGTTTTATATGTTATACAATTACCGACAACAATTTTCAACATTTTCTTAGGTAGGGATAACTTGTTGTATTACGAATTAACGATTATTTTATCCTCGAATAAATTAATAATAGAGAAACCTGAGAAAGAAAAGATGAAGGTAGTGCCTTTGAGACTTTATATAATAATAATGAATGAGAAATAAATTATTTTCAAACGGCAACTTCGCAGTCCATTCGATCTTTTGAATCCACCTGCGACGTTTCGACGTTGTCGAGTAGACACTCATCATCGTTTGTCGCGTACTTATCGTTCTGAGGCTATCTCGCTGCGATTTGAAGGGTGACCCGAATTAACTTCCGCTTGTTCTTCCTGCGAGAAAATGTCGAGGCCAAATCGGTGTCCCGTGCTTGAGATGAAATTTCTTGTTTCGCTCGAGAACGTACACGTGAGGTTCTTTTGTGACCGACAAGGATTTTAGTTTCCGGTGAGAAAGTAACGATTTGAGGCCGCGTTCGAGACGCTCACGATCGAGGGGAAATACGGTTGATCCGGAACACCCTGCGTATGTTCTCGCAATTAGAATTAATAAGTAGATTCTTATTGTGTAATAGTGTGCGATATGACATCGACAGAATTGCCGGAATTGCTTTGTATACGAAAATTTGTGTCGAATCATACACGTATACATATACATAATACATACATGCACACACGCATACATAGAGAAAAAGGTTTCTTTAGATTTAGTATTTCTATTCTTGACTAAAATTTGTTTCATAGAAACAACATACGGAATATTATTTGTTTGGGCGACAATTTCATTGTCTCATTCAAGAAAACTCCATTATTTAGCAGAAAGAACGCTATTATTGGAAATAATATCTTTCAACCAAATAAAATATTATTTGGTTACAATAAATATGTAAAATGAAACCAATCATTTCTTTATGAGAAAATTATCTTTCGTTTCAAACGAATTATTTACTTAAAGATACACCATTCGTTGAAGAGTCTAACGATCGTACTTATTAATTGCAACGTTAGTTTCTTTGGAGCATGCCAATGATGAGATTCGTTTGGAATGAAATCGATTAAATTTGAGGAAATCTTTTTTTCTGTGTACCCATGTACTCATGTACAGGTTGTTGCGTCAATGTATAGCTTAGTACGACGGGTTGTCTGTTCGCTTCGTTGGCAGGTGCGAGCGCGCTTGAATACGCACTCAGCGTACGAACTCAGCGGTATACACGTTTACTAAACGACTTGCACGCGTGTTTTTATTTGGCAAAATTAGTGCGAACCGTCTCAACAGTTGAGTATTCCGTGTCGGGCTCGAGTGCGCGCCTGTCAGCGAAGCGAGCAGGCAACCTGTTATACTGACTTGCATATTGACGCGACAGCTTACAGTTGTCACTGTACGGTCGTCATATATGCTTTACCATTGCCTAGACGGAAAGTTACACGATTTTACAGCTTGCACATAACGTATAATATTGAGAGTCGCATAAGTAACTCTAATTACGACAGTAGAGTTACAATGGCTCTAATTATAATAGTGTCGATCTTATGTGTACATATGTATGTGTGTATGTGTGAAAGACTAAAAATGGTGTGATAGTAAAAAGTTTCAGTCTAAGCAGGGAAATAGCATATATATGACGCCGACTGTACACCGTCACTGTACGTTCTCGCTGGATACTTGCGTTGTCGTTTTCGTTTCGCCTTTTGATTTTCCGAGTACATTCTAAGCGCGGGATCCATGGAATGATGACAACGACGACGACGACAACGACGACGACGACGACGACGACGATGACGAAGACGAAGACGACGATGATAACGCAACCGGAGAAAACGCATCTGGGACGACGAACAGTATAAAAGGACAGATATAAATAATAAAGGTTCGAGCGTGCAGGTGCGTACTTTTCCTTTTTTTTTTCTCGTAGAACTAAAGAACCACACTCGTCGCTTCTCGTTCTTCTTCCGCTCATACGTTGTTTTAGTGCACACAGAATGTGTAATGGATTGCAATTACTTTCTCGTTGTGAACTCTGTGAACTCTGTGTTTCATGCACTCTTTCGGTTTTCGTTGTTGCTGTTATTTTTGTCCTTCCATTGTTAGATATTGTGTATCGGATTTCGTTTTCGTCCGTGTGTGAAAGATATAAAATGGCTCATACCGATCAACGATCACACCTCGTTGCTCGTGCATTCGTTGATTAATCATTGCTCTCGCTGCGGGACATTTTCCAAATATAACAATATAATATGGTGTGGTAATGATATGTAGTAAAACTAGAGGCTAGAGCTTGAAAAAGAGACTCCGACTTATTTCGAGTGTCCAGATTATTTCTGGAGCTCGGCTGTTCTCCCGTACCGAAAACCAGGCGAGAGTAGAGATCTATTACGGCCAAAGCCCGAAACACGGCTCGAATTCGCGAAATACTCGGCCGATTCTAGATTTAGCTGACCGAATTGGCCGATGCCCGACAAATATAAAGACCCGTAATCATTTTGGGCTTCGGGTTAGTCGCTTCTGACCAATTCTAGAGCTGACTGGGAATTACTTATCGGTCACAAATTTGAAACGCTGTGATAGTAACACAGTTCGTGTTGTACAAAGGAATAAATAGTATATATCGCATTAAATAATGTATGGGAATAATGTCCGGAAAAAGAAACAAAGGTACATGTTTTAGATCGCAATACATACCGTGAAGCTTACCTTTTACACATGTTTATTGTATATTGCGTCGTATACAATATATACGAGCGAAAATTGCCACAGAAATAAATGATTCGAAATTGAAATAATTATATGCTTTACATAAAGGTTTATATATTAATTGTCTGTTATTGTTATCAACAGCTATTTATTTTATTTACATGACATTTTATATGATTCATTAACTTAGTAAAGATTTTTATAACATTAACTCACATTGAATTATTTTAATAGTTGAACAAATTTTATCCGACCGATGTCATAAATTAGCATTATGATCTTTAATTCTGAATAAACAATATATAGACAATAAATTAAGATACGTGCTTTGGGATAGATAAATAATCATCAAATATGTAGTTGAATAATATCAAGAGTGTAGTTCACGACATTTTTGGAAACCACGTGTTTGCAGTTGGTGTACGCTACTGGTCAGGATGCGAAATTGTTACTTTTCCTATTGATTTTTGATTGATCGACGATATAACCGACAAAATCGGCTAAAATGCAAAGAGTCAGCGAAGTGGCCTAATTTTCTTTGCTTTGTCCGTAACAGATCTACATCGTCAAGGAGCAAGTAATTCCAACAGCTTCGGATCCACGAAATTGTTAATATCGGGGGTCATATGTCATCTATACGGGACTTCTCTGTTAAAATTTTCATCCTAGAGTCGATTACAATGAATTCTTCTTTCGTCTTTTATCAAAACAAGCTTGTGTTTCACAATTCTTTCGTGAGTACTATAATATACTATATGCGATAATAGAAGATTTTAAATTCAATAATGATAAATTAACACAGGCAAATGAATAAATTGGCAATTATGAATGTCACGATGCAAAGTTGTAGTATATACCATATTATATATATCACGCAACAACATATATAATACACTAAATATATGTACATATACATATAATGTACTATATATATTATTAATATAAGACAATAACTGCATTTTGAGTCTAATAGACACAGAGACATATAGTTATTAGTAATAATGACTAGACAACCGGGAATAGAAATTTGGAACACGACTGGATTAGCTGGAAATTCGGATAAAAAATATTGAAATTAGATTCGTCGTTGTGCGGGATTGCATGCTGGAGCGATGATTAATCGTGCATCGTAGTTGTTTCTTTTTTGTGTGCCTGTCACGATAATGATGACGATGATGATGATCAGCAAAAGTAGCCAACTAGCTGTTTCATATTTAATGCGCACTTCTTTCAGCAGTTTTAGATCCTCTCCCGTGTTCTCGTGCGGGACGCAAATATCTCATGCGGCCGCAAATATCTCGTGTCTTCAATCGCGATAGAAGATTCCGGAGAACCTATATATATATATTTTTTTTTCGAATTTTAATATAAATTTGTCACAGTAAATAATAGAGATCTTTAAATAAACGATAAGTCTCTTAAACATATCCCGATAAATTCGCCTATAATAAAAACACATAAAAACAAATCTGCCCGAGGCGGATACATCCAAGCTCTCTTAAGTGAATCGATCCTTACACGATCTCTCGGATGACAAATCGATCATTTCGGGAGGAAATTGAAGACACGAGGTTCTCCGCGCTCTCACACGGACTGCCCGGTCTTGAAGAGCCGTTTTCGTTCTGTTGCAGGAGTGGAAGTACGCCTTTCGCGCGAAGTAAGGCGCACGTTCGTCGAGGAAAATCTTCACTCGACCGGCGGACTGTAATTTCGAACGGATGAGAAGACGAGCGAAAGGCAGAGAGAATGAGAGAGAGAGAGAGAGAGGGAGAGAGAGAGAAATCGAAAGAAGACTCCGCGGTGTGTTTCTCGTGACATTGACCGATGTCCATCGCTTGCGTCGTCCGGATCGTGTGTTTAATGTACACAGCACATTCCAGCCGCTTCTAATAAACGAAACTAACGCACTCTAAAAACGCGAGCCTTCACCGTTGCTAGTTTCTCATTACTCGGTCGCGTCATAGCTCTTCTCCTCTCACCGATCGCGATCGTTGCGAAATTGGTCCGCTCCGGAGAACACGAATTTCTACGCGAATTGTGTGTGCGTGCATGTATGTATGCGTGTGTATATGCGTGCGAATCCGAAAGACGAATTCAAGTAATGAAAAAAATTCGCGGGCATCTCTTCACGGATCATATCGCGCGCGGTGGCGGTGCGGTACGCTGCGTCTCGCTTTCACACCACCTCTCGCACGCTCATCGGCAAACCAGGATAAGCCGCATCGCATCTTAAACCCATCGATCCGCAAATACGCAGGGTGCGGTCTCTCTAATTTTAAGCGTACGCCGGAGGAACGACCGACGCTCTCCGCGCTCGCGTCCACACCGCTATACACTTTTACGTTGACAGCCCCAGCTGGCGTACAGCGCGCGAGCGTGGAACATCCGCTCGGCGTCCCGGGAGACGGCGTCTCATTATTTATTTCACGCTCGCGCACGAAGAATTTTATTTACTCATCGGCCGGCGTACAGAAGCCGAGCGAGGCCGATTGCTCGACTCGGCCGAATTATGAGTTCTAAGCACCAAGAAAGGAAAAAAAAAAGGAGAAGAACGAGAGGAACGTGTAACGTTATGTTCACCAGTGTGTACCATATGCTAGATTTGTATCGTTCTACCTTAAGGCTAGTAGATCGTCGTTTCTTTCCCTCCTTTTTAGCCCCGATTGAGTTCCAACCGAGAATCCCGGTCGAGACGAGGGCGATTACATTGTTCCCCGATATCTCCTCCGCGTGCATTTACGGCGCCTGAGAGCTTGAAGGCCTAAATTCTCGATTAAACATTTTACCTTGCGATTGCGGTGCACGTTGAACTCCCTTAGCTGGTGTCACGAGCCTCCCTGCAGCCTGTGGGATTCCCTCCCGGACGCCTCACGTGACGTTCCTCGAGTACTCCCGCGAAACGTTGTAATGATTGCAGTGTAATTAATAAGATAGAGAGACGGAGCGCGTTACACTTCAACGTAAGAATCTTCTGACGAATTTCTTTTCTCTCATA